TTCTCAAACATCTTTTCTAAAACGACAATTTTTTAAAAATAACCATGGTTAGGGATATATAGAGTTAGATACACTGAATATGCTAATAACAAATTAACCATATTATCATCACCGTTTTTTTCCCCTGATTATACCTGCCGATCTAACCTATCATGATTTCTTCTCAGATGAATTCCAAAGCTCAGCAGTGAATTACAGGGAGAAGAAACACATTTTCCATGCAAAAGAATTCCTAGTAATTTATAAAGATACTCCTTTGCCCTGAGGGAGGGAAGCATACCCCCTACTCCTTATGTGTGGGCTGTTCATAGTGACTTCCCTGCAGTACTAAACGGGGATAAAAGGGGAACTTCAGACTGAGAACCTGACAAACACCCCCTCAGTCAGGCTGCCAAGGTCAACGTCAACATTCACAAATCATGCTGACAGGACGTTCCCTTGATAGGATGCCATGGAAATGGCACTTTACTTCTGTGATCTTCCTCCCCAAAACCCATAATCTCAGTCTAATCATAAGTAAAATATCATGAATTGTGGCAAATGTGCCGTGCTAATATACGATGTAAAGAACAGAGATACAACAGTATTATGGGAACTCTGTACTATCTTTGCAATTTTTCTGTCAATCTAAAACTTCTAAATACAAAGTCAATCTTTTAAAAAGTGAATTTGAGCTGATGGTATGAAGGATTTTGATAGAGAATTATAAATTTTTTAAAAAGACAGAAAAAATTTTCATCAGGACCGTTTATGTTGCATTTGGCTTTCTTGGGGCGGACCCCTAGATAGCAAAGGCATCCAGAGAGACTGTGAAAAATTTTTAAAGTGTCTCATTTGTAAACACAAGTCATTAACTTCACATTGTAATTCAGCACTTCATACACTTCACTGAGTGAAAGGTAAATGTGTATATACCTTTATATTTTTGGGGAAACATGGCTACAGTGTCCTTATAGGAGCAAATTAAATATTTCCACAAGAAAGCTTTTCAACCTTTAAAAAATGAGCTTAGACCTTGATTCAATGAATAGAAAAAGGCATTATTGCTCTGCAGAATGCTAATAACCTATCCTTCAAACTTTCCACGTAATTTCATAAATTATATAAGTATGCTTAATAGAGCTGTAAGATTAAGGCAATTAGTGGATTAACAGTATCATCAGTTTCAGATTAGACTTGATAGTTTATTCAGTTCATGCTCAACCAGATTAGTATTAGTAGCTACTGGTTATGGCAAGGGTTATATATGCATACTTAGTTTAAATAAAATGAATGGCATGAAGCACCAAATACTGGGAGGTCACATGTTCAATACGTACTTTCAATATACGTACAAACTAGTACCTGATTTAAGAGCACAGTAGAAGAATTCATTTTACATTTAAAAATCAATGGATAAAACAGATATCCATGAGATGAACAAATGGGGGAAATGTATGTTCTAGATGGGAAAAAAAAGAAAAATTAAATAGTAGTAAGAGTTGTCATTCCTACAAACAACTGTTAACTATACAGATTACATGGAATCCCAAAATGTCTCCATGGAAATCTGGATGCAAGTGACTGACCCTTAGTTGTGGATTTGAGCATGATTTCCACTTGTGTTTTCTTCTGAAATGTTTAAGCCTGGTTGGAAGTCAGATGTCATGTGACATAGTGACACTACTTCATGGAGCAGTCCACTACCTTCGGACATCTCTTTGGCTTCTTTCCCTTCTTTTTCCCAAGGAACAAAAGTAGATGGATGCCGCCCAAGGCTGTGTCTAAGCAGATCATCTGAACTCTGGCCTAGTGTTTCTTTCTTTTCTGTTTTTCCTTCATCAGTTGGGGAAACTTCAGGGGCAGCTAGTTGGAAATCCAGCCCAGAAGTAAAAGCTGGCTTTTCCACCGCAGTAGGGCCACTTGCACTGTCAGCACCGAGGTGTCTTTCACTGTTTTCCTCCTTCAGGATAAATAGTGAATCTGTCAAACCACTCGAGGAAACCCGCTTCCTGGGAGCGGGAGGGAGGCGTGTGCCGTGCAGGGCACTATCATCCTGCCCGACATTACACTCTGCTCGATCTCCAGAACCCCCGCAAAGGACGGCCAGGTTATTCTCACTAGGTGCATTGGATTTATTCTGAAAGAAAAACAATTCAGAAAACTTTTAATAAAATTACAGCATTACTTTAGTAATTGTATTCCATTTTGAAATCTTCCAAGAGGGGGAATTTAAAGTTCCTCCCAGAAGACACACAGCATTAAGAGTCAATTCTGGACTCTTCCAAATGGCTCTATGAACAGGAATGAGATGGGATGGACTTGGTTTCCATGTCCTAGAAACTGTCACTCATCAAATTCAGTCTAGATTATAATTAGCCAAGTTCTGGAGTCATTTACAATCAGAGTTAAGAGTCAATTCTGGACTCTTCCAAATGGCTCTATGAACAGGAATGAGATGGGATGGACTCGGTTTCCATGTCCTAGAAACTGTCACTCATCAAATTCAGTCTAGATTATAATTAGCCAAGTTCTGGAGTCATTTACAATCAGAATGGGTTTGCTGCTACTCACATTTTTATCTCTCATGTTTTTAAAGCAGTCAGTTCAATTTGTTTGAAACATTGTTCATTTTTTAACCAATGAAATGGAAAAAAAAATTGGATAAATGCATTCATTACAAATTTTTTGAAAACACAGTAAATATAGGAAAAAAGTGGAAACATTTCATGCTTTAAAAAATCTCCTAGAGAAGATAACTATAAATTAGATTGCAACAAAATATTACTGCTTGACAAAAGAATTTCAATTAATTTGGAACATAAAATACCCCCACTTATTCATCCTATGGATATATGTTGTCCCAGAACTGGATAAGTGAAAGGAAAAGCACTGGAATTTTATCACTAGAAATAATTCTTAGTGATTACATTTTATTATATTTTTGAAGTTTTGACACTTACTGATTAAGAGGTTAAATGCTTCTACCGACTAAGATTATAAGATCAGGCAATCAGAGGAAGGGAAAAAATGTTTTCATTTAATTCCTAAGTTGAAAATCAACTAACCGCAGGTTTGTAATCAATATCATCCATTGATCTGAAGAAATCCAAGCTCTTTGCAGCTGCCAGCTTCCCTTGATCTGAGCTGTGTGTGCTCAGTGTATCAAGGATCTCTCCTAGTAAGTCCATTTCACCTGAGTAGGGAGTCTTTACTCTTGTTTCAACAGAGTCATCACTTTCATAAAAATATGCAGAAGCTTCTTCGCCATCTTCAGAAGATAACCTGAGGGAAAACAAAACATGCAGGAGTAGCCATATAACCACATATGTGTATGTAAGTGTATGTAAGTAATCTCTCACCAACTATATTCAATTAATGAGAGAGCTGTAAAAGTCAAACTGCTATTTCAGTGGAACAACAAAAAAGTTGATCATTGGTTCATGGCCAAATTCTTACAGTGATGTATATACCAATTCAAATGCTGGAAAATTTAGGAACAAACAAAGAACAAGTTTTGGTAGCTTAGCAATCTGGAAGTAGACACAGGGCATTTCACATAGTCTAATTCTGTGGGACTTGAGAACTTTACCTTAGGAATATTAGATCGGACACCTGGAAAGTTTGCTGTAGCCCACGTGCACTCTCAATATTTTTGTATAGTTTCCTTTTTTCTATATATGCACTTATTTTAGAGAAGAATGCATATTCTTTTATATAGACAGAGATACAATGGTATTTCAAAAAGTTTGTGGAAAAATAGAATTAAGAGATAAAATGACTATTCCCATGAGCTTTTTGAAGTACCCTCATACTTAATGAAGAGAAAACAGTGTTCGTTTTGTCACCCCCATACATAAAATTATTAAAAAAATAAAAACATACTGTTATTTCCTTTTTTATATTAAAATTAATTTTTAGCACTCTGTACTACCTTTTCCTCTTCTGACAGCATCGTAGATTTAAATCTTTCTCCACTCCCAATCCAATTCATCTCAGTTGACTCTTATGACCATTCCCAATGTTTCACCTGCCCCTCTTCAGCATGGGGGGTAGAGCCTCATTAAGGCGGGCCTCTATTCCCCCTGAGCACTACCCCGGGTAGCTCTGTAGACATTACTGCTTTTCAAAAACAAGTACTTCAGGTCTATCTTGCTTTCCTGTCCCAGGATACTCTCCATGACATTCCAAGGAGCACTGGTTTCTTTTGCTGAGAAACATTGCAAGGGAGCAAAATCTGCACTCAAGGAGTGCGTATTAAGTGAAATATCCTCGATAACCTAAAACGTCCGCCATTAAGCCACACCACTTAGCAGGACACCAAAATCCATTACAGATGCTCCTCGACTCACAATGGTGCTACGTCCCAATAAACCTACAGTGTAGTAAGTCAAAAATGCACTTACTACACTGCAGAGTATCAGTTGTTTACCCTCAAAATCGCATGGCTGACTGGGAGCTGCGGCTCACGGCCACTGTCCAGCATCACAAGAATATCACACCTCATATTGCTAGCCCGGGAAAGATCAAAATTCACAGTACAGTTGCTACTGAATTTGTATTGCTTTAGCACCGTCATGAAGCTGAAAGTCCTAAGTGGAGCCTTATAAGTCGGGGACCATCTGTACTTACCTGCTTGCTCTTTCAATGTCGTCATCATCGTCATCATACAGAGCACTGTCGAGGCTTTTAAGAGGTCTTTTTAATTGTGCCTAGAGAGTGAAATTGATAATAAATTGACATTGGTAGTTTAAAGTAAGTCTCCTTAGTAAATTTTAAAGGAACAGTGTGATTTGATAAGAAACACTTTCAAAAGAAATATGAATTCAGGGTTTCTGAATTTTACCCAATAATTTGACAAATTGGGGCAAGAAGAAAGGGAGAGAATCAAGTAATATTTATCTCAACACTTAACAGCTCTTCAAACTAATAAATAAAAAGCAAATCACTGCATTGAATATGTATGTACGTGCACACAGTACCTACACAGTCCTTCAGCCCCTGATTTGGAAATACTTGACTTACAATCAATCATACCCCCATGTACCCATCACCCCAATTCAACAATTATCAATACTTATTGCCAATCTTGTTTCTTTTACCCCCCACCCACACTTTCCCACACCCCAACTATTTTAATGCAGTGCTTCTTAAACCTTAATGTACATACAAATCTCTTAGAGATTCATGAAACTGTAAAAATGTCCATTCTGAATCTACGGTGGTTCTAGGGTTCTGGGGCCTGAGTTTCTGCATATCTAACAAGCTCTTAGGTGAGGTCAATGCTGCTGGATCTGGGGGTCACACTTTGAACAGCAAGTTTTTAAAGCAAATTCTTGACAACCTATCATTTCACCTGTAAGTACCTCATTATGTGTTTTAAACAAAGATTTTTTTAATACAACCAAAATATCATGATCCTACCCAGCAAATTAACAGTTATTCTTTAATATCTTACATTACCCAGGCCATATTCATTCTCCTATTGCCTCAACAACGTTTATTTCTTTGTATCAGAATCCCAAGGTTAACTGCATTTGGTTACATGTGTCCCGAGTCTCTTTCAGAGGACTATCAATTCAACCTTCCCTCTCCTTTATGCTGTCTGTGCTCTTTATATAACACGTTATTCTTTCCTCATTTCCCATAAGCTGGCGGCTATGTCTGGAGGCTTAAGTAGACTCAGTTTCTGTCTGTCTATTCTTTGTTTTCAGCAAGAATATGCCACGGGTGTTGATATGTGCTTTTTTATTGCATTGCATCAGTTAGGCACATAATGTTTAAATGTCCCATTTTGGGTGGTACCAAGATTTATTAATGCCTTCAGGTCTGGTTGGCTGATCCATTCATTATAAATTTCCTTATCAATTTTTCACTTGATGGTTTTAACATCCTATTATAACCACTAGCTGAATTCATTATTTCATGAACAGAATTATACTTTTCTAGAATATTCCATCTATATTTATTTGTGGGCATTCTATAAAGAAGAATCTTATCTTATTAACTACTCGGCTATTCCAAAACACAAGGTATACAAAATAGGCTGGATAAATCCTTGATTCTATCCTTTTATTTAACAATTTTCAGAGTTTCTAACATTATCTAAATTTGAGCCATGAGGGTTTTTTTTAATTATCACAATTTGCTTATAGCTGACGTGATTCAACTCACTAGTTTTTATTTTCTTGATGTTCAAACCGCCCCATCTTTGAATTATACTATGATTATGCTTTTTACACACTCCTTCCGAGGGTTGCAATCCCGTTGCCGGTCCCCGGTCCGGTACGGGGGCAACACTGAGGGTTGCGATCTGTTGCCGGACACGGAAAAAGACAAAAGACAAAAAAATAAAAAATAAAAAAAAATAAAACAAATCAAAACAAAAACCAAACAAACACTATACAGGAGCTGAGACTTTATGATGTTAGAATCATTACTACTTAAGAAGTAATGCAAGAAGATTAGACAATGAATTTACAATATTTATATCTGTAGAGTACTTTGTAATGCACTCTCACATACACACAGGGCTAGGCTTTGGGAACACGGAGTTGAGTTAAGCCAAGTCTCTGCCTTTAAAATAGCTCAGAATCTGATGAACTCCATTGTACCTCTGAAGGTACACCTACAGAGGGTCCACAATTTGCCCAAGGTCACACCCCTATCAAAAATAGGAACCAGAAAACAGAACAGGTATCTTTCTCTGTTGTGTTGCAAGTTCCTTATTCATTTTCTTCCACAAAAGTTACCTTTATATTCTACAGCTGCCAGCTTCTCAATTTTTTTTTAATGAAACTACTGTTTCTTCCCCCCACAATCTGTAGCACTTAAATCATGATGTAAGCTTCACAGGTACATTTGAATTTTAGTTTCATATTTCCTAGCTAGACCAGGGTTCTATCAATTTCTTTGTTAGGATGTTGTTAAACAACGTACCTTATGAGGAATTTTCGCCACAGAATTAGAATTAGAAACAGAAGTAAAACTGATTACCATATTAATTGTTTTTCTTTCTAAGGGTGTTAACTTTGTGCTATCTATACTTGTAATACATGTAGTTAAAAAAATATTTGGATATATGAAAAAAGATTCTAATTAATAATTATAACTGAATACATAACAAGTTGTGATAGGAACTGCAATTTCCATGTAAGGGGAAACAAAGCCTAAACATATGGTGGAACATGTCAGTTACTTGATGATTTCAAATTACACAGGTCACAAAAAAAAGAAAAACAAAATTAAGGAGAAAAATAATTACAATTTAATCAACATTTAAAATAGGGAAGAATGGCAGTTTATTTAACAAAAGCATCATCAGCATCCTGAGCTTAAAAAAAAGAAAAACAAAATTAAGGAGAAAAATAATTACAATTTAATCAACATTTAAAATAGAGAAGAATGGCAGTTTATTTAACAAAAGCATCATCAGCATCCTGAGCTGCTGTGAACCCGGATTATCTCTGTTTCTGGCGGGTTGGGACTCTAAGGTACAGTGCTCTCAGGGGCAAGAAAGGACTGTTTTCACATGCCCAGAACATACAACACAGGGCAAAATGACCTGGTCACAATTTTAAAAGTAGAAGTCTTTTATGGGGAATTGGTAACAAATAAACTTAGACTTCAGGAAATATATTTTGTGCTGTTAATAGTAGTAATACATAGCTAATAGTAGCACATCTTCATCTGGATCAATAAACCACAGATATATCATTACTGGAAACCCACACACTAAACTAGGCAAAAACTGAAATATAAATGACTAAGAGAAAAATAATCTCAATCCACACAATAAAAATAAAAAATACATACAATCTTATAATACAACTGGTTTATAGCTTTTGGGAACGGAGTACACATCTTCCTCCCCTTTATTTTTTCTAATTAAAGGATAAGAAACAGATGCAGGTGCCAGTTGAATGAATTTGATATTCTGTATGTATTCAGAGAAAAATATTATTCTATTTCAGATCTGGATGGAAATCTCACAGTAATAACTGTGCAATGAGAAATTTTCCAAGGGTCAAAAATACTTTCCTCATAAAATATTATCTAGAATTCTTTGAAATAAGCACCATGGTAGTCATAACATAGCCTATATTTGGGAACAGATGCTTTTTAAAAAAGTGATAATGAAATAGATTAAGAGATAGAGCTAAAGGCAGTCAACAGGTGAAAAAAAAATTAAAGTTTATTTCCAGAAAGCCTTATAAACATTTTTTTCAAAGCTCTGCTAGGTGATGTGACATTGTACATGCACCTGGAAAATCAATTTAAGTCACAGGTAAGTCTTTCATTGCCTCTGTCTCTGCAGTTTTTCATTATTTAAGCTTTTCTCTTTTCTGTATTTTTAAAAGTCTGCAGCTTTTCTCATAAATTTTCATGAAAAGGAGAAAAGACTTTTTTTTTGCAAATTTATTGTTGCAAGATTGTAACACATTGTTTTCTGCTACCTCCAGTATTAGGAAGCGTTAATAGACTATAATGACAGATTTGTGTGTCCATAGTTAGCAAACAGCCTCCTTGACGTGTAAAATTCAAGCTTTTCAAGTTCTGATATTTTAAGACATTATCAGCAATTTACGAAACAAAGGTGTTATAGATAATAATAAGTAACAAAAAAAGAAAAAAGCCACATCCTACATTTTTAGTTCTTGGCATCACAATTTCAGGCAAAATCCTTTGGTCTATTATTTGCTTAACAGATATTAACACCAGTAATCATTTCTAGCTTGGAGATCAGTAAATACATTTAAGTACCACCTTATTTAAACAATACTCTCATAAAAATATACATATGCTGTTTCTGTCAAATGAGATGCATCTATTTCAACCCTCAAAATACCTCATAATATACATGAAATAAAAAAAATATAACTACAGCTAGCCACCAAAAACAAAAACAAAAAAAATAAAACTAAAATAAATCGCCCCATATCAAATGATTTGCTATTTCCCATATAGAATTCACTGTCATCGCATTGCACACTTTTGTCAGAATTTCCCTTCCCCTTCTATAGCTGGAAAAAATTTTTACTGGTCCTTTAACATTGAGCTCAGTATTACTTCTGTAAAGACTTCTCTTTATCTGGCAAATGGTCCTCTGTGTGGCCACATCGTTGGTAAACGGCGGGTGAATGCACTACGAATCACATTGTGTTATTTATTCATGTGTCTGATGTGCTACTACACTCTGAGCTCTCCACAGTGGAATCCGCGTTTCGTACTTCTCCATGCTCTACGGGATGCATTCCCAGCATGGGAGACAGTAGCATGAATGCAACAGACGCTTAACAGATGTTTGTGGATTAAAGACGTGCTAAAAATTCAGAGAAAAACAAGATGCGGCTGCTGCCTTACATTGAGGGAGTGCAGGGTAGCAGCTCTGAATAAGTACTTGGTGAAGGAAGAAGAAAAGAATAAATGGCATTCTGGTTCCCTTCATTTGTGAGGGCCAGCACATCAGCATCTGCCTCCCACCCACCTCGCCCCCTGGGTTTCACTTTGTTCTAACCCACTAGGTATCATCATGAACTCCAGTCACTCCCTTATATTTGCCCTGATTCATCCTACCACAGGACCTTTGCACATGATTCCTCTATCTAAAAAGCTCTTCTTTTACATTTATCCCCTTTGCCATCCCCACTGTTTCTGTCTATACACATCTATTCTCATTTAAAAACCTTTAGTAACTACCTACCCCATATCT